TATTTGTTAAACTCTTATGAATATAATTTTTATTCTTTAAAATTTATGTAAAAATTTATATAATAATAGAAGCAACAATCATGTATAAAATAAACATTGATATGCAGTTCTGTTTCTGGTTTTGCGTGACAACATTATGCAGGCATCTTGATTGATCGACAATAACCTGATTGGCCAAAATTATTTACCTTTGTCCATGCAGAATTTTAACATTTCTTTAATTGAATCAATTCACAGTAATATAATACTTTGTAACATGCTTGAAACAAACTGGGTTTAAGTTTTAAAAACTGAGTTGTCTGAATTTTATAATCAAATTAAAATATTACGAACTGATTTAATACAATATCAAGTTAACTCAGATTTATACTCAAATTTTGTTAACTTCTACTATCAACATGAGATTACACTTGACCTCAAATCTGATTGGCTATATTGACTAGAAAAAAACTCCCAGCACATAAACAAACATTTCACTTGTTATCATTATACATATTTTATAAACTGGCTTAACATATATTTACTTGTTATTGATTATATAGTGTGAGTCATAGGACTGTGATCCCAGAAGGAAGTAATCGGTACAGCACAGTAATGGACTAACAACTATATAGATCATATACCTGAAATAGGTTTACCGACAGTATACACAGTATACATTGTATCTGCAGTATGTTATATATCCTATGCATCAGGTAAATAATGGGTATCAATAGGATACAGTGTATAATTATTATGATCAGTATAGAGAATATAATCAGTATCAGTGATATAGACATTATAATCAGTATAAACAACATAACCAATATCATTGATATAAACATTATCGTCAGTATAATTAGTATAGATGTTATAAGTAGTATAAGTGATGTATTATGAATCAAATGTATAACATGTCCTATGTAAATGAAAGTATATAATAAAGGCTTCAAGCCCTACGAAGAAGAGAGAAATGGAGTCTTCATGATTCTAATAAAATTTGTCCTCTAATAATAAATATCCTACTGTTATTATAATAATACCTATGATCATAAACTATTACTTGCCAAATCTAACCGCTTCTATCGACTAAGCTGTTCATAGGTTACATGACATATCTGATTGAGAAATGACTGAAATGCCGATGCTGTTCGCTGATGTCATTTTGGTGGTGACTGTGAGATTCAACATCCAAGAACAGCTAGACTGCAGAATTAAGAGAACTCTGATAAATGAAAGAATAGATTAGATTAAAGAAAGAATAGAAGAATTATGTCAACAGCTAGAATGGATGAACAAGAGACTTACTGCCATTACCACTCAAATTGAAGCATGTGCAAGGCCTCAACCAATACATCGAAATTTTAGACCAACCTACAGAAGAAAAGAAGAAGAGTTAGAAAAAAAAGATCAAACAAAGAAAGAAAAGAAAGAAATATATAGAACTTATCCAACATTCTGGAAACTAGAAGGCCAAGCAAAAAAGACCCACCTTCAGCAAGTCCCATATCATGAACAGACCCAAAGAAGCCTTTAAGAAGAAGCCTGGTGCTCCTATTGTAAGAGAAGAAAGCATATTGTTAGTAAATGCCCAGACGTAAAAGCATTGGAACAGAGATGTGCAGCCTTATTCAAAGCACTTACTGACAGACAAGCCCAGAAGGTTCAACGAACTATTAATGAAGCCTTTGGATATCAAAACCTCAATAAAAGACAAATTCCACAGGCCTTGGAATTTATAGTGAAAATATTAGAAGATGTTTCCGTAGATGTACCTATTTTTTGTAACCAATGTCAGCATCAAAAAAGTTCTAAAGTCGAAGAAATAGCCTACCTAAGCATTGACTTACTAGTAGTTGCAAGGCTAGAAGTCCTCTCAATACCATTTTGTTATCAGAAAGACCTGATTTCTGAATTAATAGACTTTTACCTTGTCCCAGAAGTAGATAAGAATGAAACTGGTATTGAAAAGGAAGAAAGTAATGGAATTGAAGCTGAAAAAGCTAGGCGAATAGGAGTTGAAAAGGTCAAAAGGATTGGAGATGAAAAAGACAAATGAACTAGAGTTGAAAAAGACAAATGTAAAACATTCAAATGTTTTCAAAAATCTGCTGACATGGGTCGCCCTGATAAGGAAAAAAAGATTGGTGAACCTAATGAACTAATGAACAGCAAAGAAGACTTGTACGATGAGTTGGAGGACTTGATCGACAGTTACTTGGAAATCCTGATGATCTGGACACCCGAATTAGATATATCCAAAAGACCGAAACCTGCTGTAATGGATGAATCTAAGGCACAAGTTCATTATCAAAAATCTACAGAAATGGGAAACAATAATAGAACATCTAATGTTGGATTATGTGGTAAAGAAAAAATCAAAGTTGAAAAAGATAGCCATCAAGCATTGAATGAAGATAATGGTTATAATAATAAGGATGGCAATGATAACAACGACAATGATAAAATATGGAATGATGACGATAGAACTGAGATCGAAGAGGATAGAAACCAAGAAATTAGAGTTAAAATAGCTGAACATATTGGAGTCAAAAAGGACAAATGAATCAGAATTGATAAAGATGATCGAAAAGCAATCAAATACTTTCAAAAAGCCACTGATATGGAAAGTATCTTTGACATTAGTTATCATTATGAATATGGAATTGAAGTTGAAAAAGACAAATATGATCCTTATGATAGCAACCTGCAACTATGTGAGTCTGATTCTCCTGTTGGCACATATAATATTAGACATGGCTATCAAAATGAAATGGGTGTCAAAAAGGATAGACAGAAAGTCTTTGTCCATTATCAAAACCCTGCTGATATGGATAATGCTAATGATGCATATAATGTTGGATATTGTTATGATAATGGGATTGAAGTTCAAAAAGGTAAACATAAAACATGCGAATATTTTAAAGAATCTGTGAATTTAAATAATAAGGAGGAAAAAGACAATGTATCTGTAAGCCTTGAAGAAGCCAACGATGCTGATAATGACAATGATAATGATGACATTGATGACAGAAAGACAATAGTTGCTAAAGAAGAAACTGGAAATTGGAAGAAAATTGAAAGACTAAAATCATTAGATTTCAGAAGTCTTGAAGATGTCTGTAATGATTAGAATAGAAGGGTAGAAAAATTTAAAGTGATAATGAAAGAAACAGGAAAATTGGAAAAGTTTGATGAAACTCATCTGAAATTATGTGTCCAACAACAAAATGATGCAAAAAGAAAAGCCATCATAAAGATTTCGAAATTGGCCCTTAAAGAAATGGTTATCATATTAGATAATAGACCTAAAACAAAAGAAAGAATAATGGCATTAGAGGTGAAATGAAGAATCATAAATGACATAAACAAAGGAATGCCCTGGTACTTATTTCTGCTTCAATCGGCCTTGATGGCATTCGATCCTGATGGAAGCTTGTTTCCCGTCATTTGACTTTGTCTTGTGGAACTTGATCTTGAGTTGAAGAGGAATGTGAGCTGTAGGACTGTGATCCCAGAAGGAGGTAATCAGTGCAGCACAGTAATGGACTAACGGCTATGTAGATCATATACCTGAAATAGGTTTACCGGCAGTATACAACTACCCCAGTGGCACCAACAGATTTTCACTGATCGACATTTTTTTTAAAGTCATAAAACTGTACATTAGGGTAATATTTATAATTATAACAAACTTGTTTTACACTAAAATTTTGCAAGTAATTTTTTTTACTAATGCACAAAAGATGGTTACATAAACGAAATTTTGAGTTACGGCGGTTTTTTTTAGAAAATGATAGTTTTTATTTTGGTTTCACATTATACCTGATCTTAACCTGATCTTGTAATATAATTGGTCAATCACTGTCGATCAGTGAAAATCTGTCGGTGCCACTGGGGTAGTTGGCAGTATACACAGTATACGCTGTATCTGCAGTATGCTATGTATCCTATGCATCGGGTGAATAATGGGTATCAATAGGATACAGTGTATAATTATTATGATCGGTATAGAGAATATAATCAGTATCAGTGATATAGACATTATAATCAGTATAAACAACATAACCAATATCATTGATATAAACATTATCGTCAGTATAATTAGCATAGACGTTATAAGTAGTATAAGCGATGTATCATGAACCGAATGTATAACATGTCCTATGTAAATGAAAGTATATAATAAAGGCTTCGAGCCCTACGAAGAAGAGAGGAATGGAGTGATCGTGATTCTAATAAAATTTGTCCCCTAATAATAAATATCCTACTGTCGTTATAATAATACCTACGATCATAAACTATTCACTCGCCAAATCTAACCGCCTCTATCGACTAAGCCGTTCGTAGGTTACACGACGTATCCGATTGAGAAGTGACCGAAACGCCGACGCTGTTCGCTGGTGTCAATAGTGTGAGCCCCGAAATCGGTACCACCGTTATCACGGTCATACGTGGCACGTGATCGATCGTCGAATTTAGGACCCGAC